GTAGCCCAGGCTGGCCTCGAACTCACAGAGATCCGCCTGGCTCTGCCTCCCGAGTGCTGGGATTAAAGGCGTGCACCACCACCGCCCGGCAATAAATAGATTCTTAGATATGACAAAAAAGCACCATTCATAAAGGCAAATTGGGATTTGGGGTAGAATTTGGGGCAGAGAGATGGCCTAGCCCATGCAAGACCCTAGGTTTATCCTCCAATACACACACAAAAAGACAGATTAGATAAACTGATAAATGAACGTCACAAAAATCTAAAACCTTCCGTTTGAACTGGAAGTGTGTGTGGCTAAGTGAGGGTGTCTTTAGCATTATTGGGGTCCCCTGTCAACCACCAAGGCCAAAAGAGGGGGGAACATTGTTCTCCAAAAGTTACTATTAATAGAATTAAAAAGTCAGCGGGGCAGAGGCCGGGCACACCTTTAATCCCAGCACTCAGGAGGCAGAGGCAAGCGGATCTCTGTGAGTTCGAGGCCAGCCTGGGTAACAGAGGGAGTTCTAGGACAGCCAGGGCTACACAGACAGATGAAGAACAAAAAACAAAACAAAGAGAGAGGGAAAGTTAAGAAGTCGAGATCCGTGGTGCTTGCCTATAATCCCAGCACTCGGGAGAGGGAGGTCTAGGAAGTTTTAGTTCAAGGCCAGGCTGAGATCCGTCCTTAGGAAAGAGAACAGAGACATGAGAGTATTTGTAAACACTTTCTTCTCTGAGAAAAAGGAATCCTCGTGATCACTTGACTTACAATGTCTTTTTCAGCTTTATGATGTGGGAGAGTGATACATGTTCATAGGAACCAGACTTCAGATGCCTATACCTCTGCCCCACGCTGGGCAGCTTGGAAGTGCAGTAGCCACTGGCCTCCGGGTCAGGGTGGAGTCTACAGTGTGCTGGCTGTGGCACCAGTAGTCAGTACACATAGTCTTCAACTTGTGATGCACGTGTCATGCATTTAGATCTGATCTCATTGAAAACAGAGGATCGTCTGTATTTGGAGGGTTTGTTTTGTTTTATTGTTCAAGACAGGGTTTCTCTCTGTGTAGCCCTGGCTGTCCTGAAACTCGCTCTGTAGACCAGGCTGGCCTCAAACTCAGAGATCTGCCTGCCTCTGTCTCCCGGGTACTGGAATTAATAAGTCTCAGCAGTAAGGAGCCAGGCACAGGGGTGCACACCTTTAATACAGGCACTTGGGAGGCAGAGCCAAGTGAATTTCTGTGAGTTTGACACCAGCCTAGTTGACAGTGAGTTCCATGCCAGCCAAGGCTACATAGTGAGACCCCATCTAAACACAGAAACAAGCAGACAGGAAGAAGACCAACAACACAACCTAAAAAATGGGCAGGAACTATGGGTGTGGCTTGGCAGAGCACCTGCCCAGCACACAGAGGCAATGGGTTCAATCCAGCACCCTCCAACCCTGCCACCAAAGTCCAGAGATCTAAACAGACATTTCACCAAGAAGGACATATGAATGGCATATCCTGAAAAGAGGTTCATTGCTAGGGAAATGAACATCTGAACTGTGGAAAATGCAAAAGAAATGTGGTGATATTTTATATGTGCTTTAATAAAGTTTGCCTGGAGATCAGAGGAAATAGCAAGCCATTTTAAGTAAACAAAGAAGTCAGGCAGTGGTAGCACAGGCCCTTAATCCTATCGCTTTAGCAGGCAGGGTCTCTGTGTGTTCAAGGCCACACTGGAAACAGAGCTAAGCGTGGTGACACATGCCTTTAATCCCAGTACCAACCATAGAGACATGGAGGTCTGTACAGACAGACAGAGCCGTGTAGGAAGAGGAAGTGAGGTAGCTGGGCTAAGAGAGCCAATGAGAGGGCAGAACAGCAAGGCAATAAAGGTGTGGGTAAGAAAGTGGCTTGCATTTGGAAGCTGCAGAGTTGGTGAGGTAAGGTTGGCTGTGGCTTTCCCTATTTCCTTGATCTGAGGCTTTCACCCCTATATTTGGCTCCGTGTTTTTTATTTAATAAGACCGTTTAGAAATTCGTCTACAAAGAAATGCTGTCTCTTCTACCAGAGGGTTAAGTAAGACAAAACTTCATTTTTAAAAATAGTAAAGATGTGGGTAGGGAAGGGATTGGGAGGAGAGGAGGAAAAACCTCATTGAGATGCAATATATGAGAAAAGAATTTTTTATTTAATTTAATATTTAATTTAAAATAGTAAAGAATAGTGGGGTGTGGTGGTTCACACTCAGGAGGCAGAGGCAGGTGGATCTAGCCAGCCTGCTCTACAGAGTGAGTTCCAGGATAGCCAGAGCTCCATAATAGAGAGACCCTGTCTCAAAAAAGAAAAAAAAAAAAATGCTGCTTGGCAGAAATTCAAATTCCTCCAGGGTCAGAACTTCTTGAAATCAAAATATATGCTCAAAGTTGCATTATACTTATCAGCTGAGTGACTTTGAATTACCCAGTCCTGGAGATGCAAGGCTGAGCTCTGACCCCTTCTCATTAAGAACAAAAAACCCACCTGGTGGTGTGGTGGCGCGCCGGCGGCGGCGGCG